AAACGTAAATAATTTAAATAATATAATTTTATATTATTACCTGCATCGCAAAAATATTTTTGACGTATGCTCCTGCTTTCCCCTTGAACTGACACATAAATTAATTGAAAACAATTACTATAATATTTTTTCAAATAATCATAATAAACAATAAGTATAATAAAAAAATATTATAACAAAATTACCTTATAATGAAAGATCGAACGAACTTCTAAATTAAATATAAGAGGATTGTTGGGTGTTATTTACTAGTTGAAAGGATTGTTGTATTAATTTCTCGGTTGAGAGGGAATTGTGAGAGAGTTTACGGGGAGAGGGCTATTTATAGCCGAGAGAGGATGCTTTAAAGCCGAGAGGTCCTGATAAATAATGCAAGGCGCAGTACAGGGATCGCGCCTTGCATTATGGTCTGATAATTGAGTATGTGATAATTGAAAAGCGCGAATACTGACCCGCGCTATAGCCCTTCGTGGCGTAAGGCGAGCCCCAGGGATCGCGCTTTAGACACGTGTGTCTATGTCAGTGTAAAACGCGTTGCAGGGGCGCGCCTTACTGCAATGGGTGTTAGATCGAGAAAAATAATCTGAAGGATGCATAACAGGGAAAATTATAGGGTATAGGTGATATTTCGAGAAAAACACCTTTTTATAATAGACCAGAAACTAAAGCAAATTTTTTAGGAAAAAAAACATTGAATTTATTTATTTGCCTTTTATATTTAGGTTGTCAGAAAGAGCCCAAAGAATCATTTGTCAGGTTAAAGTTTAAAGGTCGGTGGGATTAGAGTTATAAATGAGTGGAGTTTTTAGTATCGTGAAATTTGATTTGATTTAAAAAGTTTAATGTTTAAATTGATTCAATTTGAAAATTTAGGAATTTAAAATGTCAAGTTTGGTTCGAATTTGAAATTAAAAATTGAAATTCGAATTGAGCTTAAAAAAAATTGAACTCGGAATATTCTTATTAGACTTAACTCAGTTGAACTCGAACTCAAAATCTTAAGTATATAAAAATCTTATATTGTATTTAAAAATTTAAAAATAAAAATTAATATTATTAATAATTTAATTTTAAAAATAAAAAAATATATTATTTTTTCAAATTGATTATCAACTTTTCTAAAGTAAATATTAGATAGTTCACTTTTGCTCATTAGCCCATGTAGACGCTACGAGATGTTATTTTTATAATATTTTTAAACCGATCTTTTTTTATATATCATAAAGGTGGATTCTATCAATTTTTTTATTAAGTTAAGGTGATTAAAAATAATATTTATTTTAAATATTCTCAATCATTTAACAATGAACGCTCAATTCAACCGCTAATGCTTAAACATGTAACTTCTAAGAACAACAACGGTTCCTTTAATCACCGAGATAAGTTATTTCTTGCATTGATTCTATCGTTTACAATAAAAAAGAAGTGCAGAAAGAATTTTTCAAATCATAATTTTTAATATTTTGAAGTTTGAATTTTCTTAATTTGCATCCGGATAAAAATTTCATAAATTGGTCTCTCTTGGTAGCATGCCTCTTTAAAGTGAAAGTACATATAATTTGACTGAGTTAAAATTCATCTATTATATTACAAACTAATTCAAATTTTATATTTATTTAATATTTATTCTTAAAATGAAAGTAGATAAATGTAAAAAATACTTTAAGCAACAGAGAAAACATATATACACGTTTATAGAATAAATTAAATAAATATTCATGGTGGAATATTATTCAATCTCTCATTGTGCGTACATAGTTTTTGTTTATTGGTGAAAAAAAATAAATGGATGCTTTTATCATACACAAATAATTAAAAAAAAAATGTGAATGCGTTTATTCAAAACTGTATGAATTGTTTTCAAAATCAAATAAAATAGAAAAAAATGTGATCACCTTTATTTATGAAAATATAAATCATTATACCTTGATTCATTATATAAACGATATGATTTATTAATTTCCTTATTTGAATATATAAATCCCATGAAAAATAAATATGGACACGTGTATTAGTAAATGATTTACAAGATTACGTGAGTGAATTTATAACAATAATATATTTGGTGACCTTACGTGAGGAACAAGTCAATTTAGTTCATGCACATTAAAAATGTCAATATAATAAAAATGATAGTGACGTTGTTATATTTCATTTATACATATATTATATATAAGTAAAATTGTTGACACTAATAATGAAGATGGATGTTATTCGATTTATATTCACATTTAATATCTACGTTCAACATATAATTGGACATAAGTTTCGAGATATAATCCCTTAATATATATTATTAACTGGAATAAGTATAAGGTAATATATATTTAAAGAACACTCTTAATCATTTGATATTGAATATTCATACTCTAACATTCTTGATGCTTGAACTCGGGACCTCAATAAATAACAACAATTCTTTTACCACTGAAGTCACTTAAGTTGTGTAATACCTTGACATATATAAAAGTTCTGAAATAAAAAAATGTTAATAAAATTAAATTTAGAATAAAGGTAAAAATATAATAAATAAATAAAAAGGACAAACATCGTGAAGTTGTAATAATTTATACAATTTAATGGTTTTTCCTTTTTCATTTTGAAGGATAATATTTAGAAACAGATGTAAATTTTAAAGGGAGCAGTGCCTCGATTCACTTGCTCTCAATTCATCCCCGGTTATCTCCTTGTTCTGAAAACCGTATTAATAAGATTCAACTGGATAGTGCTACCGTGACGGAGCCGAAACTCATTGCAACTGCATTTAAAAATCATTTTTGGGCTATGTATAACAATGTACCCACCTTACAAGTTGGAAATTTCGGAGGGATTATTAAATGTTGTTCCAATTGGTGGAAATGGGATGCGTTTGTCACATCTCCAATTTACGGATGACTTGATTATCTTTGTGGAAGCGTAATAGGAATACGTCTGTAATATCAAGCATTAGGACCTCTCAAAATAATGTTTAAATCATATAAAAATGAGTTACGACTCGTACAAAAAAATATACAATTTGGGGTTCACAAATATACATGCTCTCTAAAGATAAACTCGAGATGTACTCTGCATTAGCTGGGTCTGGATAGTTGCTGACAAAAAGTCATCGGACTGCTCCTCGACTAACCCGCGTAAGGAAATAAATTTCAAACGCTGAGCTAACTAGCCGAGTGCCACACTAACAACTAAACCATACAAAAAGTGTTCATAACATGCTCAAGCTATCAAGTCTACTGCTATCTGTTCTACTAGCCCACTACTTGAGTGTTGGACCTTGCGCCCAAGCTAGTCTGCTTTAAAATTGCTTTAATGAGTATTCTCGAATACTCACTCTCTACGTTATGGTAGACATCATGGTGTGGCTAAGGGTTCTTCACCTCGGAGCTCACACACCCCTCTAGTCTACCCTGAATATGGCCCTCGTAATTCTCTACATGAGAAACCATACCCCTAACTAATCCACCCTTTCTTCTAAAGAGTGTTAAGGCCTCGACAAACATAGCTAGTCAGAAGGGCCTCGACCCTACCTAAGGATATCCGGATTGAATCTATATTGTCGACTTTGCTAGCTTTTCTGAAGAGACTCGGGTGTCCTGGTCGTTTTCCCGATCATTCAAACAAGGCTAGTTTTATGTCATCCTAATAAATCTTGTTTCTAAGTTTAATTAATCTTTAATATTTTCACGTACAAACTTATTTGATTATAAAAAGGAGTGTTGAGGTACATCAAGTCTAATTTCCCTAGAAACTGACATTTTTGCCCAAAACAGACTGAAAGTATCGATATTACTACAAAAGTTTCGATACTTTATATAAGTATCGATACTTTTAAACATTCTATTCTACCTAGTTTCAAAACTTTATGGGAGTTTCAAAACTATGACCCAAAGTTTCGATACTCTTGAAAGAGTATCGATATTTTTTCCTAGAAGCTCACGAATTTGCCCAAAACGAAGAACTAGTATCGATACTATCCTAATAGTATCAATACTTTACCTGCAGAAAACCATATAACACATACTAAAATGCTATAATTCAATCACAAAGACCTTTGTGAAGTCCCCAAACATGCTTAAAGTTTTATTTGATCAACAAGGGTCATAATAGATACTTTAAACACATTTAAAACTTTAAAACAAGAATTTCACCATGAAAATGCTTGTCATGCTCAACTCAACCATTTAAACTATTTTGAACTTCTAATGACTCACTAAGAGTATAGAAGAGTTGTAAAGGTGTTACTTGGCTTCCTGGATGGCTAGAAACTTTCTCAACTAACTTAAGAATCAACTTTTCTTTTCCTTTAGCTCTTGAGATTTCTCCTATCTCCTTCACTAAAGAAATGAGAAAATAGATTACCAATCCATCTAAGATTGAATAACATCTAAACATACTCCTTATAACTCAAAACTTAGCTAAAATCCATAGATTCCCACAAAACTCTCAAGACCCATTTTTGATTCCATTGATAGAAACTAATGAAAGGGAGCTCAAAATGAAGCTAGAATGATGAGGTTTAATAATCTTATCTTGGATGGATCCACTAGGTTTGAATTTCTTTGGGAATCTTACTTAAAGAAGATGGAAAAAGAGAAAAAGATGAGGAAATAGGAAGAGTGTTTGGTGAGTTGTGAAAGGAGGGTTGTTTCCAGTGAAAATATAATTTGAGAGATTTTCAGTTTTTAAAATAGCTATGGGTAAACTACACTTTTAGTCCTTATACTTTTATTTCATAATTTAATCATCATCCTTCATTAATTCTCTTGGGCCCTAACTCAAGTCCACTAATAATAACTTCATCCAACTGAAATAATTAAGGTTTAATGGTTCAACTTTGGACTTTGGATTGACTCAAACTAAAATTCAGTACGCTACAAGACCAACTGGTTGTTGGTATTTTTTTAATTGCTTATTGATTACACATAAACAAATTAAAATAAAATATGCATTGATTATAGTTATAATAAAAGCAAGATATATAACATCCAGATTTAATAAAAGCAAGATATATAACATCCAGATTTTGAGTTATTGACCAACAGCCATGCAGCTGTGGGAATTAAATGTATTCACATGATTTTGTCATGGTCCATGGAGATTACCAGCTGCCATAATCCCCATGAAAGCCTCGACAATAACACGGTGGTGGCATGGCGAATTCAGCTCCAAAAAGCATCGAAGAAGCTCCTGAAGATGTTGCGTCGAGTATATACGCTTCTCCTCGATCATTTGAAGCATCGACTGTCGAAAATCTCGATATGGGTCGTCGGAATTCTTCACCACAGCGATGCCGTCGATGATTTTAGAGCAAGGGCTGAGCCTAACTTTGGAAGAAGATGATGATGATGATGTGGGGGAGGAGGAAGGATTTGGGGATGCACAGACTTTGGGTTTTGGCTCGTAAACGTCGCCAAGTTTTGGGTTCCCACAGCGGCATCTCGCATTTGCTGGTAAGAGAAATTTTAACAGGCTTTTCTTGTTGGAAGACATGAATGAAAGATCTAATTTTGATAAGAAAAATGAAATAGAAAATGAATTTTAGTTCAGAGGGACGTGAAAGAAACTCGAGGATTGTTGGTATGAGTCCTTTTCAACATTTTCTTGGGTACGAATCATTTTATCTTTGAAATTTAAATCGACTGTACTGTTTGTTTGAGGGACTTGACTTAACTTCCGGTAGATGTTTGTCAAAAAAAAAAACCTTTTTTATTTTTATCCATTAAAAAGTTAATAATTGCATCGCATATCCTCAAACTATAACACTCATTTTATATTGATCCATAAATTTTTAAATGTTCCAATTTTATTCCTAAACTATAACTATCATTCTAAATTAGTCCTCAAACTGTGACATTCATTCTAAATTAGTCCCTAAACTTTTTAAACATTCCAATTTCACCCCAAACTATATGTATATACTAATCACATCACTTGTTAATAAAATCGTTAGGCCAAGTTATATTACTATATGTTCGAGAAAGAAACAAAATTTAGGTTAAATTATGATTGAAGCTATTTATATATTTAGATGAATTTAAGGATGAAATTGAAATATTCAAAAGTTTAGAGATTAATTTAGAAAGATGATCATAGTTTAGGAGTGAAATTAGAATGTTTAAAAGTTTACGAAATAATCTAAAATGAAAATCATAGTTTGGGGTGAAATTAGTATATTTAAAAGTTCAAAGACCAATTTAAAATGAAGGTTATAGTTGGGGACATATGATGCAATTAACTCCTCAATTAAATATTTAGTTCAAATTTTTAATTTCATTTCACACCCTTCAATTCATTAAAGATAAAGATTAGGTTTTAAGTAAAGTAGAACCCAATACATCTGTAATCTTATTAAATATAACATATATAAAGAATACATATTTTGATCAGAGAAAGTACCATACAAACACTTCCTCTATCCATAATCCCTTGATGGAAAAAGACAAATAATTTAAAAAAAAATCAAGAAAATTCCTTGTTGCCTGATCACCCAGATTTCTCCTAATTATAACATGAGCAGTAACTTAATCCTTGTTGCCTTCATTTTCTACCATCAATTATAAGTACCAAATACTAGTAAGAATTCAAAACTATGAGACATATAAGTTAGAATATGGATACGAGCAGAGGGGTCTTTCTTATGCCATCTGCTCCTGTTCTATGTAAATTTGCTCCATCCATGGTGGAAGTGTTTCTTGAACATCTTTACCAACACTGTAATGCTGTTGCTGCTGCAAACGCTCTCCCGTAGGAGCACCATCTCTCACGATCGAATGAACCTGGGAAACATCCGGCTCATTATCATCGGATACCATCATGTTTGTTGTCGCTGTTGTGGTGGGATTGTTACGGAATCCGAAAGAAGCTGACTTCCTAAGCCTGTTTAGCTCATCTCCTTGAATGCCCCAATCCAGTTTCCCATCAGGGGAGCTCCAATCAGAAATATTTGAAGACATCATGGTTGTGGAGGTAGCAGGAAGTCCAGCACGACCGGTCATTGCCCCACGGTCTATAAAACTCTGGCTCCGTTTTGCAAATCCGGAAGACCTGGAATTCATTACTGCTGCAGCCACTGCAGCAGATGAGTCAAAACCAAATGCTGATGGCTGCCTCGCAGGATAGGATGACAGGTTCGTTGGGTAGCTTGCTCGGAGTTGGTTCATGTTTTGGCGAATTTGAAGCCCAGTTGGAGATTGCAACTGGGTTGGTGTTGCAGATTTTACTGAAAGTCCCTTCAAGGGAGACAGCAGAGATGGATCGAGGGATCCAAAAGCATCATCGAGATTAGTAGGCTTCAAATCCTCAAGCCTACTGTATTCGTTTCTCCAGCAAGATGGGGAGGAGAGACTAGCTATCTCATCCATCAACTGTTGCTGTTGCAATTGGCTAGCATGTTTCTCGAGGGCAAGTAATTGCATTTCCAGATCAAAATCTCTGGCATGAAAAGCAGTCTTTAAGCGGCTACCCGGTAGCTGCAAGGCAGGTGGGATGAGGTTAGCTTTGTTGTGCCACAAGTTCCCAATATTTGCAGAGGAAGAAGTGGCTAAAGGAGACATGGGTGGTGTTGAAGCAGTAGGCAGAGGCAAGGAGGATGAACAAAGTGCTAGAGGGCTCAAATTTGCCATGTCCTCTGCATTGATAGCAGCAGACCTCGGTGAAGGCATGGCTGAACCGGTTGAAGCATTCACGGGACGTAATTCTTCAAGTTTGTGGGCAAAGAAGCAGATTTTACGATTGCAGCCAATCTCATCTTTGCAAAGCCTTGTTCGATATTGAGCAGGATGCAGCCAAGATTCAAAAATACCATGTGCATATTCACAAGCATCACCCTTAGGGCATGCCCCCTTCCGAAATTCAGGGCAGGGCACGCAGCTATAGTGGTACTTCCTTAGGTCCCTCCTCCTAGCATTCTCACCAGGATGAACAAAAGGGCACTCGGTCCAGTCATGGGAGTATGCCCTCGAGCAAGGCTTCACCTTAAAGGTATACATCCTGAAGTCATCAGTTCCATAGATACCATTGTTGATATCAGGCAGTGATAGATCAACAGGATATTCTTTCTTCTCAGGCCCTTCTTTCACCGACTGACGCAGCCCCATCTTTTCAGATTCATCTTTCTGGTTAAGAATATTATCGCTAACACCAATTACACTCTCACCTTTTAGCAACAACTCAATTACCTTTCTTCTGGAATTACTCAAAGACTTTAAAGCCGGCACAACCAGATCGATAGGCTTGTTCCCATTAGCATCAACACGATTAACATCAGCTTTAGCATCAAGCAACAGCTTGATAATCTCAACCAAAGACTCCGAACCACCAGCAACAGCACAATGAAGAGCAGTAACTCCATCAGTACCACAAGCCCCATTCACATCAATCTTCCCACTTTCAATGATGTATTTCAAAACACCAACGCTACCGAACATTGCAGAGATCGTCAAGGGTGTCCTCTCTTCAAATCCCATATTTCTCGACCAGATTCTTTTACCATACCAGAAACTTGCCTCGCCAAGATCCAAACCTTTCTCTTCTACTTCAGTTTTAAAGGCTACCAGATCATTAGAGGCAGCCAATTCGAGCAAAACGGAGCAATTACATAAAGCAGTAGTTTTTTGCTCCTGTAGCTCACCTTCCATTGTGAAATTTGAGGAAACAGGTTCACTTTTTGAACCACAGCGTATCCCCAGCAAGCCCTGCATAGTTATTACAGCAGCAAGAGTTCAGTGCCTCACTCCATAGCGAAGATCAAATAAGAAGAATACATTTTATAACTGTGCCAGACCGAAGTATAAAGAAATCTTTATGGTTTCTACATACAATTCAAAATGATACAAAATTTTCATTCTAGGACCTGAAAGCAAAACAACCCACAGTCTGGAAATCTAATAAAAAGCTAATATTCATGGAACCATAAATAAAAATTATAGCATATACTTCAATTTCAAACACTCTAAAAAACAGAAAAGAAAAGACCCAAAATTCACAACTTTTTACCGAAAAGAAACCCCAACAGACGAGAACTAATGAATTCATAAAAGGATCAGAGCAAACATACATAAAGTTACTTTTACTAGACAAAGAAAGGGAGAAGCAAAGCCAAAGTTGAAGTCTTGTTACCTAAATGCAGTCTCAGATGGAGGGGAACGCAGAGAAGAATAAGGTTATATCAGTAGAGGTAAAAGAGTTGGAACTGAAGAACAAAGTGTGAGGGAGAAAGAAAGAGTAAAGTAGAGGGTTTTTAAAGAAAGGGTTAGTGTTGATTTTGGGGGGGGGGAGGAGGAGAAGAGAGGAAAGTGTGGGTTATCTTCCTCGGCTTTCCGTTAAGGTCAAACTTCAAAGGGAAGGGGTCCCTCCTCTTCTTTTTGCTTATTATTATTATTATTATTTACTTAATACAAAACTAAGTATCCAAATTTATTTTAGTTGTATAAAGAATTCGTTAAAAATATGTATTTAACCGTTTAAACGTTATATTTTTAGGTATTTAAATCATAAATCATTAAATTCAGTCGTTAATCAATCGATTGGATATCTAACATTTTTTGACCGGATAACCATCAAATGGTTGAAATTCCTTATTTTTGCGACCGGTTGAACACTCAACGATTGTATAAATATAAGATTTCTCGATTGGCTAAAAATGATTCTCCATGCTACAATTATCGATTTTTCACAATAATCACCACGTGTAGCATGAGAGTTCGAGCATTCCTATGCCATAGGAATTTCAGTTAATTGATGGCGTTGGTGGTGATCGATGACAATAATGTATTAAAATTATAGTTTTTAGAGATTTTGGATTATAATTTCAAAAATTATTAGATTTTTTATAATAAATTTTAATTTATCTTTTAAATAAAATTTTATATGATTAACACATTTTAAATAATATTATTAAATATAAACATCTAAAAATATAATATCAAAAATATTAAACATCTAAAAATAGAATAAAAGATATTGATAGACACGTATTTTTATGAAAATTCTTTAAATACTTAAAATTAATTTTGAGTATAATTTAAATATTCATTTCCATATTAAGCCATTATTACTTAAAATTGAAAAGAATGATAGAGGGGATGAGAGATTCCAAGTTGTAAGCCACCCTTTCACGCCTCTGTCTTCCCTCTAGTTTGGTGGGTGACATACAGACAGGCTATGTCCCCGCGCTGACTCAGCTTTCCACTTCCACTGTTCCCGACGCTCTTGTTTTCTTCTATCATTATAATCACTCTTTTATCGTATTCTTTTATTAGAATTTGGGCTCTCTCTATTATTTCGTCATCCCATGTACTGTTACATTTTATTTGAGAGTTTTAATCTGGAACAGCCAAATGAAGTTAAGGATTAATTCTTAAACTTTAGCATGATAGAGGGACCAAAACTAAATTTAACCTAGAGTTTGACAAATAATTGGTGGTAGTCCGGTAGATTTTTTTTCTTGTGAGCACATCTAAAATGCTGACCTTTAGCAGAGCAATAGGGTTTGACTCGCAAAGAATTTATTTCAAGTTCACGTTGTTCTACAGTTTCCAGATACCTTGGATCATGTGACTGATGGAATTGAA